GGCAGAATTAAGCCTAATTCGAGCCAAAATCTGAAACGACTTTTCGAATATTATTTTTTTTTTTGAGTACCCGTAGCCAGGCTAGATCATCAGTTTATTAATCAATTGAAAACAAAAGTATATTTTCATCAAGCAGCATGATACATACTATAGCTAAACTATTATTCTAATCTAACTAAAGTATAAAAGTCTCTAAGTTAAGCCTTGGGAATAATATTTTGTTCTACAGTGTCTTTGAGTAAAAACTTTCCTAGTCCACTACATCATTATCAGCAGATTGTCACTGCTATATGTCCACCAAGCTGCTGGAATATAGGAAATTACAAAAGAATAGATTAAAAAAAGAGGAGGGAGATATCTAAAAATGTCTAAATAGACAACAAGAAAATAAAAGAGTAAAAAATTGAAAAAAAATTTTCAGCTTTCTACTTTTTAAGACTTTTTCTCAATAAGAAATTCTCAATTAAGATATCCTTTTTTCTTCTGACTATCTGAGGAACATATTCATTTTTGATCTTGATTTTCTTTTTATGTATTATCTAAGGAGACTTATCACCTAGTAAAAACTTTTACTTTCAGGACATACTTGATTTCAATTTTTTTAAGCAGTGATTTTTTATTCATCTGTGATAGAAAGGTAACTTATTATAGATCCTAGGTTTTTATATGACCCAATAAGAATTGAGCCATGTTATTTCAGTATGATATCTTTTAGTAACCAATTCTAGTTAAAGGAATTTTATTGGTATACATCTTTCGTTATTTAAAAAATCAGATTCCCCAACAATCCTTTTGCCTTATAATAGTAGAAGACTTCGAAAAATAATAGGAATTTTCATTGATTGTGATATCCTTTAACAACTTTTGGAAAAATATATTCTCAATTGTAACCATAGAATTGAAGCTTAATATAGAATAGAGACTGTCCAGTCTTATTGCCTGATCAAAATGAAAAGAAGACCTTGATCTTGAATTTTGTCTAACCAGAATTATAAAAGATAAAGCTTTAATTTGAATGAATAGTAGTTTTTTCATCATTTGAAAACTTGTTGCTTGTATCTTATTGACCTTATAGAACTTGATCTATAGGTTAATATAATTGGAGGAGTTAAGCAAATAAGAGTATTAATTAACTCTTTCAATCATCAATGATATTATTAAACCACATGAGATGACTAGTAGAAACTTGTTTATATTAAACTATTCATGTGTTTCATGTCAACTAATCTAATGCCAGGTGACATTGTACTTTTAAGGTCAAACTGAGATAGGTAAAATCCTTCAAGAAAACTATGAAAAACAATAGATACTCTAAGAGAATACAAGATTTTGGCTCGAATTAGGCTTAATTCTGCCTGAGATTCGAAAAAACTTCATATCGTAATCATTATTCACGTGACCGACGTGACTAAACTACAGTATATTGTAGTGCTTTACTTAAGCCTCGTCTTAGCGAAAATAATAATAACACCTAAAAAACAAAAACCTTATTATAATCCCCCCTCAGGGATGTTTAGTGTCGTAATCATGTAACCATGGGTTTATGATTCACAATTTGTTATCATAATGGACCAAGTCAATGCTACATACAGCGCCGTCCATTTAAACGTGTCATTTACAATAAACAAAAATGCTGGGTTTTCGTTATTATCTGCAAAAAAAAGATTATGGTTTGATCGCAAGCACATTTGGTGCATCTAAAGTACCTGACCCTTTTTAATGTATGTGACGTACAACATATAATCTCCTAATCACGTTCATCAACTTGTTTGTTTCATATGAGTCACGGAATAGAGTTTGCATGAAGTATTAAGTTATTTTTCGAGGACAGGAGTTATGTGGTACTAATACTAGCATAATAAACTTATAAAAATTTTATTTAATGCGGATAATATTGGGCGAAAATAAAATTTACCAGTCAACGCAGACGCGGGATTAACCGAAAACGTATCATTTTGTGCCACAAAGACCATGCAAAAAGATGCCTTTATGAGAATTATGTTTTTATTGTATCTTTCCTACGCAGTTGCAATTTCCTTTACGAATTATAAAAAGCATACCCTTTCTGTACACAAATAAGTAATGGAAATTACGCCACATTGTCTGTGATGGATGCTCATTTGTTCGTTGCCCTGATAGAATATCAAGGACAGACTAGAGTGTGAATGTTCGATACGGTTTCACGAATAATTGGGAGGGGGTGAAATCTAGCATTCATGCAAACATTAGAAAAAGAAACTACTTCCCACGTTATAAATGGATTACTGACTGTATTGTTTGGCATAGTGTAATATTAAAATTTCAGTCGTTACGTGAATTCCTGTTTATAGAATCAAAGTTATTATCACAGAATCATGCAACTCAAGCCATCTATTTAATTAAAAACTTATCTTGTAACAGAAATCATATTTGATGACTATAGACTTAAAGGCTTAGTTAGTATGCGCTAATCGCCATTAGCGATTTGCCAAATCAAGATAAATTAGTCCTTGCATGGCCAAATGATTCGGGTCATATAACTTTCCTAAAATTGGTTTTAATCAATGAAAATTCAAATATGGAAAGAAACATTCTCAGGTAAAAATTTTCAAGGTATGTACTGTACGTATGTACCTAATTATTTAATATTGAATTAAAGATATTCGGTGATTAATGTATGAAGATCCTATATTAATTTAAGGTTATTTATAACTTTCCCTATTCGAATAACGATGTTGCAATAGTTTATTTGTTGTAAAAAAATTTTTCGTGACATTTATCTGGGGCATGGAGATTATGTAATATAGAGGTACTGTATGTATCATATGACTATAAATTTTTTCTCGTGCAATATTACTTAGAAGTGCTGCTTTTTTATAGCTAAAATGAGGCTTTGCTCGGATTTAAAATATCCATACGCACATGTAATTAATGTTATCAGGGTTTCCAAGAAAAAATTTTTCTTGGTTGATTAGATAAGTAAGCGTAATGATTCGAGCTACTTCAAATGGCTTGCATCTGAAATATAAACAAACACAGTAAGAAATTCCGTTAATTTTTTTTTGTTCAGGCTCATACGAATTTTTCCACAATTATCACGCAATGCGTGATTTGTGAAAGGTTACGAAATTATTACGATAAAGTCAAGTTATCGCATTTGATAATTATTTTATTTTTTAAAAAATTCATATAGTGATAATTTTTAAATTTAAATTATCAATAAGTTTTTCTAGATGTAATTTAGATTATCCTTTAAGCATTTGAATTATTTTTTATATTTTATTATTGTTTTTCAATTTCCTATAATTTCTAGACCCTAGAAAAAAATTTTTAAGTAAAAAAATTATATATTTTTTAATTTATTTTTCTTTTTGTAGAATTATTTTATATTTTTTTGCTATTATTTTTTTTAAAATAAAAATTTACATCATAAATTATAATCAAATAGTAATAAAACAATAATATAATATTAATACTTTATATAATTGTTATTTTATCTTTATATACTATATTATCAAAAAAAATTATAAACAAAGAATAAAAATAATAGTATTCTTGAAATACTTTTGAATATTATTATAAATGTCTTTTTTTTTTTATATATGGTTAAAAATTAATAAAAATTATTTTTAAGTGATTTTTTTTTATTTAATTATAGTTACAGTATATGATTTTTTTTCAAATAAGTTTAATAAAAAAATTATTAACAATTCTTTATATAATTATTAAAAAATTTTTCACAAACAATTTATTATTATTTATTATAAAACTTTAATACATTTTTTTAAAAAAAAATCCTTAATCAGATTAAGTATACAGTATATAACAAAACTTTTTGGAAATTTTTTTTTTTTAATCCACAGTCAGGTCAATATAACATGTCTTTATTATATATATACTAGATATTTACAAATTACCATGACTTTCATATATTAACTCACTTGTCATTGAAAAATTATTTCTCTAAATGCAACCTAGAGAATGATATTTTACTCCTTTACTAATTTAGATAACTCCTCTAATTAATAAAATCATTGCCTACAGGTCATTACTGTAGATTATTCTAAGTTCTGTTTGCAGTTAAAAATTAAACCATTTGATTCTATGACAAATCCAATTCTTAATAATCACTGTATACTTCTTTCTTTTATTTTCTTTAGTACCTTCCAGATTAGAATTCTCCAGAGGTAATAGTACTACTTCTTGGTTCTATCCAGTTTGTATATTGGATTAATACTTGTGTCTTTTATTTCTTTTATCTTTTTTCAGTAATCTTCTGTTTTTTTTTCCATTCTATAACTTTAACATAATAATTATTCCAGATTTTCTTTTTGAAGTTTACTTACATCTTTTAATAGAACTTATCAATTTTACTCTATATAGTTATAGGTGAAATCTTAAATTGTTTTTTGGGATATTTTTTCAAGAAGGTGGTTTTATTTTCTTTTATATATCCACAAATAGTATTGAAAAGACCCTTGTCAGATTTCTGGATCTCTTTCAACCATGTCTATCTAGTTATTTATTATAGTTAATAATAAGTCCCTAAAGTATTTAGCATATAAAATTTTGCAGATTACTTATATCTCTTTTTAAGGGTTAAAATTTATAGCTCTTTACATTAATAGAGATAAAAGTCACAAAATACTATAAATCAATGATTTGAATAATAGAAAACAAATATAAGTAGTTTTTTTATAGTTATTAATTTAAAAATTTTAATGTTTCCTAGTAAGGAATATTTGACTTTTATTCTTACTTCCCTCTTTAGGGACTTATCTTTAATTATAAGTCAGACTTATTTTTTATTTTTAAATTTTTTATTGATGTATTTATGAATCTTTTTATTTACTTTCTACCATATATTTTCACTAATTTCTCTAGTAGCTGGGCATTCAAAGAGGTGTTCTAATATCTCTTCTTGAAATTCACATACTGAACAAGTGGTTATAGTATATATATCTAATTTCCTTTTCTTAAGTATCTGTAGGACTGAAAGTTTATTATGGGTTAGATTAATTAAAAAGCTTTTATCTTTATCAATTTTGAAAAAGATATCAAAAGTATTAGTTAAATTGAACTCATTTCAAAAGTTTAATCAAACTATAACTTTGTTGTTTTGGATCCAAAGATCCTGAATCCTTTTTTATATTGTCCAGTTTAGTCCAATTTTTTTCTTATTAAATAATTTAATAAAATCTCTAATACCAATATCTATTGTATATTCTCTTTAAATGACTATTATAAGGACTTTTTCTAGCTCTAATAACTAATGCCAGGCTATTGAATTCTCACACCTGGTCTGTTTAGCAAGTAAATTTACTTGATTGTTAAATTTGTGGATTCTATGAGCTTTGCCCTTCAAGATTTTCAAATTCAGATCTTTCTTCCTTACCAGATCTTTAATTTTATTCTACAGTGATCAGTTGATAATCTTTTTTCATTTTCTTATTGATGTTTTTATTTATGAGCAGATAAATTTCTATACTTTAATTATAGTGTTGTAATTAATGTAAATCATAAGGGTTGCTTTTAAAGGGACAGTATATAGTGCAGTAAGAATAGCTATTATTTTAGCTCTGATTACAAATAATCAAGTAGAAACTCCTACTGAGAACTGTTTAACTGCTTTATTATTCTCTATTAAGATTTTGATTAAACACATCTCGAGTTCACAGTCTACTAATTTTTTTTTTTATAGAAGTCATCAATAAAAATATAATCCTAAAGGGAAAGGCAAGAACAAAAATCAAATGTTTATCACTAGGAAACATTAAAATTTTTAAAATAATAATTATAAAAAAACTACCTACAATTGTTCTTCATTATTCAAATTATTGATTTATAATATTTTTTGACTTTTATCTCTATTAAAGTGAAGAATTATAAATTTTATCCCTCAAAAAGAAACATAAATTATCTGTGAAATTTTATATGCCAAATACTTTAGGGACCCATCATTAGTTATCAGTGTAAAAAGTAAGTTGATTAACTATATTCCTTCTGTTATATCTCAAAATACTTATAAGTTTATCTTTATGTTCTTCTGTATATATAGCTTATTCCATTAGTGTAATGTTTCAGTCTTTCACTTGGATCTCTACTTTTATAGATCTAATGATTGATAGAATCACTATTTGATAATATGTTTTTATTTATCAATCTGCAAGATTTTCTAGCAAAAGAATTTGTTTTCTTTTTCTCAATTGTTATATCTGTTTAATTGTGGGAGAAGGTGAACTTGTAATGGAACTATTTTTATTAACTGCACTATTCTATCTGATTAGAGATAGATATGATTACTAGTAAAGTTATATACTAACTGATATAGTATAAAATAAAATTTATTGTTTATGAATATTGTCTTTCCTAATGTATTTGTCAGAGTATTAGTATAAACTATCCAGTATGTTTTTTTTCTATTTAGATTTGTTAAGAATGTTTCAGTCTATATATTATAAACTATCTATTCGAGTTTATATAGAAAGCTTTATAGAAAATCTTGATTTATTATTGTTTTTTTTAGTTTAAACTAGCTTAGTAAACTCTTCATATTTTTTAAGTAGTATAGTCTTTTAATTAATAATGTATAATAATGAGTTAGTTGCTTTGTAAAAGTCTATAAAATATTTAGATATTTTTTAGTATCTCAATAAAAACATATCAAAGTGATATAATTGCAAATTAAAAAAAAATTATTATTTTTACTATTTAATTATTTATAGTTAGGCTAGATAGTAGTTAATTAATATTTAAGAAAACAAAGTATATATTCATTAGAGCAAAATAAAAAATATTATAATTAAATATTTATATTATATCTAATAAACTTGTCTTATAAATAAAAATCTCTAAGTTTGATCTTGAAAACAATATTTTATTTCAATAGAGATTTTGGATAAACATACTTTTAATTTCTACTATCATTGTCAACAGTTTATCATTATTATATATCCTTTAAGCCATTGATTAATAAAAAACTATATAAGAAAAAGAAGATATAAAAGGAAAATAGATATATGTATATAAATACATATACAAGAAAATAATAAAAAAAATAAATAAATAAAATTCACTAATTTTTTATACATATATAAAAAAGATGTTTGCAAGAAATTTTTTATTCTTTGTTAATAAAGTCTTAATACTATCTCTAAACCAACTTGCTGTTTTACTGCAAGAAATA